CCTGCTGAGGCATTTGGCTCTGCCCTTTGCTCCCCATCAGCCAGGGACATTTACGATTGTAAAAAATGACTGGCCCAAAGACCAGGCTTCTCTGGAAGCTGGGCTAGATAACCACACACAGAAAATGAGCATGAATTTCCAGGGACCAGGGAAAGAAACTGGACACATACAAGAGTGGACAGCATGGCTTAGTAGTCAGAGCACCAGACTGGGACGTGAGTGCTCTGTGCCTTATTCCCAAGCTCCCACATTAATGGCAGAATCCCAGGCTGTTTGCTTCACCTGTCTGGGCCATCTCAGGAAGCAGTGTGGTACTAAAGCATGCTGAAGGCACATGGGAGACGCAATTTACCTAGCTAGTAAGTATATCATCCCAGCTAATGAACAGCTAGGTCCTGCTGTGAATTTAACAGAAATGATGCAGCAGGAGGTGAAGGGATAAAAGAAAATGAAAGGATATTTTTCTTGCAAGATTTCAAAGACTTTTTTCAAAACTACTTGCTTTTTTAAAAACTAAAAATCTTAGAACAAGCTTCTTTCAGCCTTACAAAGTGTCTTATCTCCCTTTAAAAATATTGCCACCAAAATATCACATTCTGTATAATGCTTAATAAGATAAGGAAGAAAAAACCCTTAGAGATGCATGCAGACTTCAAACTGAAAATGCTAACTTAAAATCTGGGGTAGTACACAAGGTTTTTGTGATGAAATATTCAAATTAAACTCCCAATCTTTCAACAGCCAGCTTTGCCACATGCAGCTTTGCATGCGATAATGTCCGGTTTACACTTGGTGCTTTTCAGGCACAGAAGACAAGGACCTGGAGTCAGGGGAAAGAGCACATTGCTCCAGGTCTTTTTTGTGACATGGCAGAAAGTCAGTCTCTGACAGCCCCCTCTTCTTGCCCATTCCCCAGGAGAGCCTACACCAATCACCTACAGCTGGGGAAATATCCTAGGGTGACTGTTCCTGTTCACTGACCTGGCCATGTGCAGCATGGGCTCCATGATGTTATAGCCAGTCATCGCGCTGCACTCGTAGAAGACAGCCTTGTATTCCTGCCAGAGAGCACAGCAAGCACCCATGTTGGCTGCCAGCTCGTCCCCACCATTCACCCACATCCCTGGGAGCTGGCCCAGCAGAAAAATTGGTGCTAGGAAGGTGGCTGTTACCACCCTGCTGGGGCGCACACCCTGCTCACCAACCCAGGAAAAGGAGATGCTTTTTCAGCATTGGGGGCCGAGCCAGTGTGTCCAAAAGGGAACATTGAGGGAGTTATTTGGGAAGAGAAAACATCTGCCCAGGGTACCTGGGTTCCCTTACCTTTGTGTTGCAGAGTCCAGAAGATGGGGAACACCTCTGAAACCCTGCTGCCCCCGCCACCCAGGGGCCAAGGTACCAGTGGGCATGCAGACGCAGGGAGTGAGGAAGGAGGCAGGATGATTTTGCAAAGCATGCATTAGGGGAGTCCTCAAATGGGAAAACAGCCATGGATGCTCCCCTCAGAAAGACAGAGCATCACTGTAAGGAGGCATCAAGCCTCAAGAGAAATACACGAGCATGCCTCAAGGGCCATTGTCTGCCACATGCTGGCCAACACCTCATCCTCCCTGGTACCAGAGGGACCTCAGTACATGTCTGCATTGGAGAA